CGGACCCCGCCCCTTCGCGGCTCCACGCGTGCCGGCGCGGGGGGCGCTGGCCTCCGCCCGGCTGCGAGCGGTGAGCTAGCTAGCCCGACGCTGCTAGATCGGGAAGGGATGCGGGTGTTGAGATCCTTCAGGAGGGGGCTCTGGCGGGGAGGGCAGGCCCAGGTGCCCCGCCATCCGCTGACCCTCAGGCTCTGCCCTTCCCTCTCCCTTCTTTTCTCCTTTCAGAAGTGCGGGGACGGAAGGCAGGGCAGGGGCTGAGCATTTGTGTGACACTTGCATTCCGGTGACTCCCTCCTTTTCCCCACCCGTTACCCCTTCACCTTCCAGATTTGTGGGTGTTCCTTCTCATCAGGCTGTCAGCACTCCACTTGGAAGGAAGCAGGAGCCGGTCTCCAGACCCTGGCCCTACCATGCCCATATTAATGTCCCCAGGCCTCAGTTTCCCCCACAGTATTTTTGCCTTGCCTTCCGTGGTTTTAAGGACCAATATGACACAGAGAAAGGAAATGGGCATTTGTTGAATTCCTGCCTGGCCAAGTACCATGCATTCCACTTTCTCTGCTGGATCCTCATTGCTTGGTGTTCTTAGAACTCCAGTTGTACGGATTCTTCTCTCACAGGTTAACTGGCTTGGTCTCACTTGGCCAGTGAGCAGCAGGCAGAGGGGATTCAGACGTAGCTGTTAAGCTCCAGAGCCGAGTGTTGTCAAACACTTTCCTTGTCTGGGCTGGGACTGGAACTGTTCTTTGACAAATCCTGGGCCCAGAGCAGCTACTTCCTACTTCTCCATCTGAGAATTCTTTCAGTTCCCTTTTTCCAGAACACAGTGCTCTGCTCTGCTTCCGCCTTGTTTACTTTAGAAATGAAAAGCAGTAAACTTTGAGTGCCGCAGAGAGATGAACTTTTAGAAGTCCAGAGCCTTGGATTCTCACCCTGACTCTGTATTAACTGGCTGTGTGGCCTCGGGCAGGTTCCTTGTCTTCTCTGAGCTTTAGCTTCCCTCTGCATAAAATGGGCAGGGGCCTTCTGACCAGCAAGCTCTTGTCCAATTCTTCCTGTCTGTCCACTAACAGGCTCTCCGCGGAGGCCAAGACCCCTCTGCTCCCCATGGGCAACTGCCAGGCAGGGCACAATCTGCATCTCTGTCTGGCCCACCATCCACCTCTGGTCTGTGCCACTCTGATCCTGCTGCTTCTTGGCCTCTCGGGCCTGGGCCTTGGTGGCTTCCTCCTCACCCAGAGGACTGGCCTGCGCAGCCCTGACATCCCTCAGGTAAGTACCCTCCTGCTCATGCTTGTGATAACATCCTGCTCTTGCTGCTAACTTCATCTCACCTCTCTTACCTTCCTTCTTCACACAGGACTGGGTCACCTTTTTGAGATCTTTTGGCCAGCTGACCCTGTGCCCTGTGAATGGGACGGCCACAAGAAAGTGGCATGGGCCTCACGTTGTAGGCTTACTGACCACCTTGAACTTCGAAGATGGTCCAGACAGAAACAAGACCCAGACATTCCAAGCCCAGGTCCGGGGCAGAGAGATGGGATTGAAAGGTGAGATCAGAGAGGACTGCGGGATTGGGCATCAGAACACAGGCTGAGCCCTGCCTCTGACCTCACCAGCCTGGTGATTTCGGGCACATCCATTGGGCTTTAGTCACTTCCGCTGTCCTAAGGCCTGGATACTTTCAGTGAACGTACTGCTCGCAGTGTTCTCTCTTTCCACTTCTAGTTCTGAAGTGTGATGAGATTGGGCTAGGTTTGATACAGGGATCATTTTCATCCCTCTCTTGGGAGACAACTTCTTTTTCCTCGGGGACATCAGAGAAGCATGTTCTGTCCAGTTATGCTAGTCATCTTAAGTACCTGCCATGTGCTTAGCATACCTCTGTGTGCTACAGAGAATATAGAAAAAAAAATTAGCATCATTTTCCAAAGAGTTCATAGTCTTTTGGGAAAATGTTGAGTTCCTATTTTTTTTTTTTTTGGAGAAGTTTTCGCTATAGGGCGAGTGCGCTCGCCAGACAGACATAGAGACAGAAAGCGAGAAATCACCCCCCAGGGGGGATGGTCACGCCGCAATCCCTTGTCCTCCATTCTCCTCTCGGCATCTTGGGCACGCACGCACACGCGCCCGGCGTGAGTTTTAAGCCAACGGGTCTGGGATGCGAACCGTGGTCGACTACGTGGGAGTCCAGCGACATAGCCATTACGCTAAGAGAGTCAGTGGGTACCATTCATTCCTATATGACTTTTGACCTGAGGTTCCTTATCTAAAGAATGGGCCAATGGGACCAGCAGATGGTGTAATGGTTACATCGCTGAACTTCTACATAGTTAACCACAGTTCAAGTCCCAGACCCAGTGACTTAAAACTCTAAAACTCACACTGGGACTATGTGCGTGCATGCCCAAAATTCTGAGACGAGAATAGAGGAGAAGGGATTGCGGTGTGGCTATCCCCCCCCCGGGAGCGATTTCTCACTTTCTATCTCTCTGTCTCTCCAGTGAGCACACGTGCTCTATAGCAAAAATCTCTCTCTCTTAAATAATAAAGAATGAGCCAATGAAAAGGGAAGAGAGAAAGGTAGAATTTTCTGATTTCTGAAGTTCTTTCTAACACTAAGGTCATTCTAAGTTTCTCCTAAAAGTGTATCTAGGCAGGAGGGGAGGGATAGGTTTGTCTATGTGCAGGTGTACATATGTATGAACAAAAAACAGGAATAAGGTATATAAACCAACTTTATTAAGGTATGATTCATACACCATACAATTCATCCCTTTAAAGGGCACAATTAAATAGCTTTTAGTATAGTCACAAAAGTGTACAACCATCACCACAATCAATTTTAGAACATTTTCATCACTCCAAAAGAAACCTTGTGCCCATTAGCAGTCACCCCTTCCGGCCTTCCCCCAAGTCTCTCGACTTAAGGCAACCACTAATCTATCTGTCTCTAGATTTGCCTTTTCAGGACATTTAATACAATATGTAGTCTTTTGAGACTAGATTATTAGATTTGGCATAGTGTAGAGACCTATGTGTGTATGTGTGTATGTATTTTTTTTTTTTCATTTTTTAAAATGAGAGACAGTGAAATAGGTATTTTTTGACAGGGTCTCACCACGTTGCAAGCTATATGCCCCGACCTCCCAGTTAGCTCGGCTTACAGGCCCGTGCCAGGTCTCCAGCCTTGCACAGTGGTACCACTATAGCTGGGCCAGCATTTTTTTGGGAAATAATTATTTATTTAATTTTATTATTGTTAAATTTGCTATAAGAAAGTGAGAAAGCAAGTCACCAGGTCTGAGACTTGAACTGCTGTTGTTGGCAGGTATTTTTAAGGTTCATTCGTGTTATAGCATTTATCAGTTTCTCACCTATTTTCACTGCTGGATAGCATTAATTGTAAAAATTCCACATTTTTATCTATCCACCCTATATTTTTTAAAAGAATTATTTTATTTAACTTTATTATTATTATTATTACTTTCCAACTTGATCAGAGAGACAGAGAAAGAGGGAAAGTGAGAAAGCAAGCCACCAGCGGGGATGGCCATGCCACAGTTCCTTTCCCTCTATTCTTCTTTTGGGACTTTGGATATGCATGCACATGCACCTGGCATATTTTTCAAGCAGCTGGGTCTGATATTTGAACCACTCAGTCGACCGTGTAGGATCCAGCCCCCCCCCCCCCCCCCGACTTTTTTTTTTTTTTTAAATATAGAACACTTCACAAACTTTTTGTCATCCTCGCACAGAGACCATGCAAATCTTGTATTGTTCCAATTTTATTTAGTGTCATCCTTGCACAAAGGCCATGCTAATCTCTGTATCTTTCCAATTTTATATGTGTCATAGTATATGTGCTATTGAAGTAAGCACACTTCATCCTTTTGTAAAAAATTTTAGATTTTTGCTATAGGGCACGTGTACTTGCTGGAGAGAGACGAAGAGAGAGGAAAAGTGAGAATACTCCATGGGGGATGGCCATGTTACACTCCCTTTTCTTCCATTCTCCTCTTGGAATTTTGGGCATGCACACACATGTGCCTGGTGTGTTTTTCAAGCTGCCGGGTCTGAGACTCAAATTACAGAGTCTGCTGTGTGGGATCCAGTGCCTTAGCCACCACACCAACCCCTGCTGGCCCACTTCACCCATTTTTTAAAAAGTGGGTAATTTTTCTTTGAATTATAGAATTTTTTTTTTTTGGGGGGGGGAGAGGTTTTTGCTATAGGGCACATGCGCTTGCCAGCCAGACAGAGACAGAGAGATAGAAAGCAAGAAATCACCCCCCAGGGGGGATGGCCATACCACAATCCCTTCTCCTCCATTCTCCTCTCAGGATCTTGGGCACGCACGCACACGCGTCCGGCGTGAGTTTTAAGCCCCCGGGTCCGGGATGCGAACCGTGGTCGACTACATGGGAGTCCAGCAACATAGCCATCACGCTAACTGCTGGTCCCTCAATTATTGAATTTTAAGAGTTCTTTATATTTACTAGATAGCCAGTCCTTTATCTGATATATGATGTGCATACTCCCATTTTGTGAGTTGTCTTTTTTACTTTTTTTTAAGCATGTTTTTTCTTAGAATTATTTAACTTTATTTATCTTATTTTAATTTGACCAGTTAGGGACAGAGAGAGAAAAAGAGATGGAAAGTGAGAAACCAAGCCGCCAGGTCCAGAACTTGAACCACGGTCAGCCATGTGGGAGTCCAGGGCCCTTAACCACCACACCACCTGTTGGCCCCCTCTTTTTTACTTTATTGATGGTTTTCTTGGAAACACAAAATTTTAAAAGTTTTTAAAAAGTTTTTATTTATGGGACCAGCAGTTAGCGTAATGGCTATGTCGCTGGACTCCCACACCGTCAACCGTGGTTTGCGTCCCAGACCCGGTGGCTTAAAACTTACGCTGGGTGCGTGTGCGTGCGTGCCCAAGATCCCGAGAGGAGAATGGAGGAGAAGGGATTGCGGCGTGGCCATCCCCCTGGGGGGTGATTTCTCACTTTCTGTCTCTCTGTCTCTCTCTGTTGGCAAGCGCACGCGCCCTATAGCAAAAAACCTCTAAAAAAAAAGTTTTTATTTATTTATTTATTCCATGAGAGAGAGAGGGAGATATATAGAGAGAGCCACCCCCAACAGAGTCTTCATGCCATGATCCTTCCCCCTGCCTCAGCCAGCCTGGATCACAGGTACATATGTGTGCACCTGGTGTGCAGAGAAGACCTGGGACCTTTTTGGCTTCAGTATCACAGAGGGTTGTGTCATCACTGTGCCACCACAGTTGGTCCACAAAATTTTTAATTCTGATAAAGCTTAATTTGTTTTTTTTTCTTTTGTTATTTGTACTTTTTTAAAAAAAATTATTTTATTTAACTTTATTTACTTATTTTAATTTGACCAGAGAGGTGTCTTGCCAGAGCATTCGTCATATCCATACAGGTTTGATGGCTTCCCCTGCCCAAGCCTGCCTCCCTCCACTTTATCTTCGCAGCTTTGACCACCTCAGGAAACCTTTTCTATCCTACCCTGTCTTCGGCATCTGCTTACTGAGAGCGCAGGTAGAGACTTCCCATTTAAAACTGCTAAAGTTTTGGACCAGCAGATGGCATAATGGTTATGTTGCTGGCCTCACACAGTCAAGCAGTTCGAGTTCTAGACCTGGTGGCTTAAACTTAAACTGGGCATGTATGCATGCATGCCCAAGACCCCGAGAGGAGAATGGAGGAGAAGGGCGTGGCCATCCCCCTGGGGAGTGATTTCTCACCTTCTGTCTTTGTCTTTCTGGTGAGCACACATGCCCTGTATCATAAACCTCTCAAAAATAAAAAGAATTATTTAACTTTATTTATTTATTCATTTATTTATTTATTTTAACTTGACCAGAGAGTGAGTGAAAAGTGAGAAAACAAGCCACCAGGTCCCCACCACACCATCTGCTCACCCCAAAAATTTGTACTTTTAGTCTCAAATCTAAGAGAACTGTGCAATGCAATGTCACTAAGATTTACTCCTGTATTTTAAGAATTTTATAATTTTATGTTCTACATTTAAGTCTATGATCATTTTTAGTTAATGTTTGTGTATGATGTGTGAATGATGTCCAACCTTATTCTTTTTTTGAGGGGGGGAAAGTTTTTCCTATAGGGCGTGTGTACTCACTAGAAAGACAGAGACAGAAAGACAGAAAGTGAGAAATCACTCCCCAGGGGGGGTGGCCATGCTGCAAACACCTCTACTCTATTCTCCTCTCAGGATCTTGGACACACGTGCACATGTACCTGGCATGAGTTTAAGCCACTGGGTCCGGGACTCGAACCATAGTCGACTACATGGGAATCCAGCGATGTAGCCATCACGCCATCTGCTGGTCTCCAACTTTATTCTTTTGCATGAGGTTATGCAGTTGTTCTAGCATTTTTTTGTTGAACAGGCTATTCTTTCTTCATTGAATGGTCTTGGCATGAAAAAATCAATTGACCATAGATGTACAGGTGTATTTCTGCACTGTCAGTTCTACACACTTGGCCTATATGTCTGTACTTA